TGAGCGATGTATTTTCATTGGATACCTGCAGAAATCCTTTGGATATCTCTTCTATAGACCGAAGGACAATGTTGTCTTTGTTATGAGGAGAGGAGTTTTCCGAGAGTGAGAACTCATTAGTCAAGGGGACAGTGGGAGGCAAATCAATCTTGAAGAGATTCAAGAATCGATAGATGAAGGAACCTCTACCGCTGGCGCTCAACCCGAGGAGGAAACTCCGGTTGAACCGCTTGACGTATCATTACCTCTTAGACGTTCCGAAAGAGTTAGGTTTCAACCCCAGTTGTATGGTTTTCGTATTACTACCGAAGGGGACACGTATATTAGTGATGGTACACTAGTAAATCTTGATGAACCTAATAGCTATAAGGAAGCCATGGCAGGCCCGGAGTCTGCGAAATGGAAAGAGGCAATGGATAGCGAGATCGAATCCATGTACGATAACCAAGTTTGGAATTTGGTTGATTATGTGCCCGAATGTAAGACCGTTGGGTGCAAATGGATCTTCAAAAAGAAGACCGACGTGGATGGGAACGTACACACATATAAAGCGCGATTGGTCGCGAAGGGCTTTACTCAAACTCCCGGAGTTGACTATGATGAGACCTTCTCACCAGTTGCGAAGATTAAATCTATTAGAGTGATGCTAGCAATTGCCGCATTTCATGATTATGAGATTTGGCAAATGGATGTCAAGACCGCTTTCCTTAACGGAAAGTTGGCTGAGGATGTTTACATGGCTCAGCCAGAGGGGTTTGTGGATCCGAAGCATCCGAATAGAGTGTGTAAGCTTGAGAAGTCCATTTATGGACTTAAGCAAGCGTCTCGCAGATGGAATCTTTGCTTCGATGAGAAAGTCAAAGAGTTTGGATTTGTACGAAGCGAAGACGAATCTTGTGTATATGTCAAAGCCAGTGGGAGTGTAGTAAGCTTCCTCGTTCTATATGTCGATGACATATTACTCATAGGAAACGACGTCCCGGCTCTACAGGAAGTTAAGTCCTGGCTCGGGAAGTGCTTCGCTATGAAGGACCTCGGAGAGGCTTCCTATATTTTGGGAATAAGGATAGTAAGAGGGAGAAGTAAGAGATTAATAAGACTTAGTTAGAACACTTACTTAGAGAAGGTACTAAAATGTTTTAGTATGGAAAACTCGAAGAAGGGAGAATTACCGATACAAAGCAATGCCAAGTTGAGTAAGACTCAAAGTCCGAGTACCGAAGCCGAGATAGCTGAAATGAGCTGAGTTCCATACGCTTCCGCAGTTGGCTCAATCATGTACGCTATGACTTGTACTCGCCCTGATGTAGCCTTTGCTTTGAGCATGGTTAGTAGATATCAAGGGAATCCAGGCAGAGCCCATTGGATTGCGGTGAAGAATATCCTTAAGTACCTTCGGAGGATGAAGGAATGGTTCTTAGTCCTCGGAGGGAGTGATGACTTGAAGGTGCGAGGGTATAGTGACGCCAGTTTTCAGACCGACAGGGACAACTACCATTCGCAGTCAGGCTGGGTCTTTACCCTGAATGGAGGATTAGTAACTTGGAAAAGTTCCAAGCAGGAAACCATAGTTGATTCAACGTAATCAGAGTACATTGCAGCGAGTGAAGCGTCGAAGGAGGAAATATGGCTAAAGAACTTCATTGGTGATCTTGGAGTTGTACCTGCCATAAAGGAGCCCATGGAGATTTTCTGTGATAATGAAGGAGCGGTTGCCTTGACCAAGGAACCAAGAGATCATGGCATATCACGACATATCGATAGAAAATATCACTTTATTAGACATCATGTAGAAGAAGGATAACTCGTAGTAAAGAGGATATCATTAGAAGATAACCCAGCAGATCCGTTTACGAAGGGATTGAGTAAGGTTAAGAATTTGCAGCATGCTAGGAGTGTTGGGCTGAAGGATGATATTAGAATAGATGAGATAGTATTAGAAACGTATAATAGATAAATGTAATTGACATTTGATGATTAAATAAAGGAGTTTTATTTATAAGTAATGTTAATGTCTTATGTTAATTGTTTAACTATTGTTTCACTTTGCATGTTTTGACTTCCAAAATAATTGAGTTTATTAAGAATAATCGAATTGTTCAAATAGTCCACAATCGTTCATATGTCGGAAGTAGATGTGAATGAAGATTGTCATGAATAGGTGTGTAGAGTGTCTAAATGGTTCTAGACATAGCAAAAGATTGCTGCAACATTCATGAGTGCTTATGAACTAGATTTGAGCAATGGAACAAACCCGCGCTTGCTGGAATCACCTTATGGAATAAGATAGTAAAGGTGATCGCAAGACGATAATATCATATAGTCTTAAAACCTAGATATATAAGACTATATGATTTGTTATTGGTTTATTGATTGTACATTGATAATTCGAAAACGCATTGGTAACTTGATGTTATAAAACGCATTGTTGTGTGTAGTTGGTTAATGAATAAGTAAATGCATATAAGTCGAAGTTTATCTGTAACTTTTATCCTTTGAAGGAAAAAAGTGATATCTCCGAAGCTCGATGATTTGATATGACTTATGTGCCGGGCCTGGTCAGAACTGAATTGATGTGTTCGATTAAGTTCTATGTCAAATAAATCGGAAATCGAGAAACCAAATGCTAGACTAACTATTCCATAGTATTGTCAGCATGATATCTAACAGAGGACTGTACAATCACTTATCTGAAGGACAAGATTGATTAGATCAGAGTTTGACAGTGTCTTTGAGAGCTACGATTGCAAATCGGAATGTACCTGCGCATATAGTTACTAACCTTATCCAAGTGGGAGATTGTTGGAATAGTGTCTAAGGCTGCAACTATATTAGGCAAGTATTTGACCCGATTGTGCATGATCCTTTTGGGTTGCCTTCACAATAGCAACTTGGTAGGATGATTTATTATGAGAGAATAGATATTATTAATATTTATTATGAGAATAATATAAGGAATAATAATATAGTTATTTGATTAATATAAGTCATAGATTAATTAGTATTAATTTGGTGACTTAAGGAGATTAATTAAATAAGAGGGTATAAACTGTCAAGTGGTTGATAGTTAAACTTTAGACTGTAAATCCGTATTGGATAGACAATGGACAGATTATAGAAGCTATGGATAGCTTCAAATCGTCCAAGGTATTATCTAAGGAATGGATTTGGATTGCTTTGAGTAATAGTTATCCAACTAGGGTTTGAGTTGTAGCCCTTAAGGAGTCTACAAGTATAAATAGACCCTATAGCAAAGGGAATTCGGTACATCATCTAAAGTAGAGAAATGCTGGCCGAATTCCCTCCTCTCTCCCATCTCTCAAATCATCCTCTTTGCTGATTGGTGTTTGTAAGCCATTAGAGGAGTGACAATTGTGACTCTAAAGCTCCAAGAACAAGAAGATCAAACAAGTGTCTCAAGGTATGATTCTAACTCTGATTTTGTGTTGTTCTTATGCCTAATTAGCCATTAGAAGTCTTGGATTCAATGCATGTTTAATTAGAGAAACCTAGATCCGAGCATTAGGGTTTGTATGCGCACTTAGGAATGTTCTTATGTACAAAACCCATCAGCAATTTGGTGAAGAAGCTTCACCCTCATGATTATAACAAATTTTCATCTTACAGAAAACAAAATCTATAATTATGCATATCCATGCAATCATATTTAGAAACTTTTCAGTTACTTGGATTATCCAAAATCTAGATATATATAAAAAATAACGATATATTTTTATTACTTTCCATTGTAATTTTGGTTCCTTCCTATTAATCACAAAGATTACATGATAAGCTTTTCTAATCTTCATATTATTTGTGATAATTATGTAATAAGTTAATTCACATAGGTAAATTTTGCATACCTTTAGAGGCTGGAATTGGTGACATTCAAGCACATCAACTTAAAACGAAACATAATGGACTCACTTACCAACAAATGTTTTTTTGTTACTGTAGCAATGTTTGTACATAGTATTTATCTCATGTGATATTTTTTAGTATCACCGTGAAATATAGGCAAAGTGGAAATGTAAGTAAGCGTTAAGAATGACCATCTCTAACTACTCGAAACTATCTTTTAGTATCTTGATGTGATAGATTTGTATCCCCACTCCTTTATGTTCTTTTGATATATAGAAGTTGATGGATGTTATGTAAGTATCTGGCACCGATAGTGGTTGTTTTTTGGCCAGGTGTGGATGGTGGTAGTCATAGGAAAGTATTTGGTTTTCTATTGATAGATATACTTTTAAATAATGATAGACCTTTATGTCCCTTTGTTGAAATAGTTGAAGAATCTCCTCCTTATATGTGAAACAAGGATATTAATTGGCATTGATAAAATGACGGACATACTTTTAAATATTAATAGACTTATATCCCCTAATTCATGGATCTTTTTTATGGGAATGCTAAATTTTTATAGTTAATGTAGACTCATGTTACTTAGGAAGATTGAAGTAGGAAAAAGTTTCAATTTCGGAAAGAACCTCAAACTTAATCATCTAATGTGTATACTTCTTCACTACTACAAAAAAGAGCATTATCGACGGCCAAAACCGTCGGTAATCCGTCGCTAATGCTCTTTACCGACAGAATTGTAACGAACCAAAATCCGTCGGTATATTCTTGTCGCTAATTGTTTGTAACGGATTTTCAATGGATATGGCAAATTTTTAGTGACAGATTTTTCCGTCGGAAATAGTAACGGATCACCAACAGAATATTATTTGCAACGGATTACCGACGGAATTTGTTTGCAACGGATTACCAACGGAAAAATTTACTAACGGATTACCAACGGAATGTGAAATAATTTACTAACGGGTTACCAACGGAATGTGAAATAATTTACTAACAGATTACCGACGGAATACGGAATAACTTACTGACAGATTACCGACGGAATCTCGAAATGTCTACCAATTTTTTTTGTGACAGATTAGCGACGGATTTTGATATTATAAAAAAATTTACAAATTAATGAAGAAATTAAAAACTAAAAATAATTACATATTCAACACATAAATTTTTTAAACATACATCAAATCTATATTTTAAAACCAACAACTATAAAAGTAAATCAATAAATTTCAATCATTTGACATACATTAAATCTATAAATTTCAATCCATGTTGTCAAATACCATAAAGAATTCCTTCTTGATTATCTCGTGGATTCCACACCTGTCATTGAGAGTTGTTAGCTAGAGAGATATTTATATATTGCCCTCCAATGTTTACAATAAAGGGGGATAAAATTGTAAAAATGAATGTCATTAAGAAGTAGCAATTATGATAATACATAAGAATATGTGATTTTAATTACAATATTCCTCCATCTGAAGTTTGAATAAAAAAGAGTTAATGATGAGAAATAGCAACGTATCTTTCTGAAATTCCTCATTATAGTTACATACTTTCAAATAATTATAATAGGAAACCATTTTAGATTTTTTCATGATTATACTAAGTTTTTACTCGTAATGGCAGCCTATTTTTAATAGTAATAGCAATGTACTTTGCTATAATCACAAACAAAATGAAAGTAGATTGCTATTATGAATGAACTTTAATGTATGATACCATAATCGAGAACTTTGGTAAAGGACATTGCTATTTCTCACTATTAACCCTTAAAAATGTCAAATTATTTCAAATAAAAGGCAGCCGCTTATCATCTCAAGAAATCTAAAAGGTATAAAGCTTCCCTAGATTTGAGTCACCTTTACAACTTTTAGCAAATGTTCAATAACATTTTTTGGAGCCTTTTGTGAGTAAAGTAGTTTCACAAATGACCCATTGTGAAATAAGTGTTCAAAAGGCTAAAAAGATGGCTAATTTAATAAATGAGACCACCCACTTTGATACATGTACCATACCTTTTGTCATGTTTTCATTTCAATTACATTTGCTTTAAACTCGAGAAAGCCAAGGCGGTTGCCAAATATGTCAACTCCTATATCAACAATTATAGTATCAAATTGTTAGAAGAAATTGACCGATAAGGTACTTATTACTGATGAACAAGAAGCTTGAAGAAAATACCTGAATGAGGACTTGTTTTAGAGACAAAAATCCATCCACAGGGAGTCCTTTTTCACTTTGAATTTTCTTTATCCACTACTTAAACAAAGATGAACCAATAGCTAACCTGCAACAAAAGGTGAAGCATATAAGAAGTTGAACATGAAACTAGAAACAATTGAAGAGGAAAGCATGGATTTAAGTTCGCTAAGATATAGGACATGTACATAATTTGGTGTATTACAGTAGCATTGAGAGATTGATGAGGATGCTAAATTGCTAATTATTATAAGAACATGGCTATACTCGATCCACAATAACAAAAGGTGGCCACTACTTGTTAAAATCAAATGGATTCTCGTTAAAAAAGTAAAGTATGTTGACAATATTGGTAGTGAGAGTAAAGTAAGTTGCTATTTATGGACATTTGCTCTAACTTTATTTAAAAAATAAATAGATTAACTTGAGCAAGACAGTTTGAAACAATTGATATCACACAAAAATAACATATATATATATATATATATATATATATATATATATATATATATATATATATATATATATATATATATATCATCTAAACTTACTTTCACAAGTGGCAGGCCTACTAAAAAAATGGTGCCATTTCCTTTTACCATGACACTTCATCAGCAACATAACCTCACCAACAAAAACATAACATAATGCTAAGAGACAACAAATCCTAAAACTGTAATGCAATGTTTTCAAACTAGCAGTGATAAAGTGAAAGATATACCTTGATATCATAGAAGGGAGTACTCCATAGAGATACTTCAGGGCTCTTTATGTCTCTCAATTTTTCTTTAACCTTATCAATTACCAATTGTAAGTCATATTCCACCTCTTCTTGTGTGTATTTTGTTTGCAGCTCTAACCTGTTTCAACCCCAGGTGATGAATTAACTATGAGTTGTATGGGTAATGAAAGATGTCCCTTTTCTTGTTCAGTCTAAAACATTCTTAGCAAGCAAACCTCTTTTACAAGATCTTGATTACAGATTATGTCCTTAAAGCGGATCAAGATAAGCATATGATTGGTTGGTTTGCATAGATGACTTGTGCATTTGCACCTTTCAATTGAAAATGAAAAATAAAAGAAGAAATCAAAAAAATGTTAAGAGAAGAATATTCTTGGAGTTGAGAAGGAAGGATATCAGGACTCAATTTAATTTAGTGGCTATCTATCTGTATAATGCCACGTCGCATCCGATATTCACTACTGATTGCCAATGAAATATTCCCAAACATAGAACCACCAAGTACTACTGATTCTACCATACAGAGATTAGAATTGTTTTATAGATAAAAAGTTGTCTGAACTCTAAAGCACAATGTACCAGTTGCTTAGAAGAAAGACAAGTAACCTAAAACTTATGCACACACAATAATACCTCAACTAAGCAGATAGACTTATGACAGTGTTTGGAATTTTTGTAGATGAAGTTTATTAATAACATCAACACCAATTCATATAAGAAATCATACATGCCTGAGGTAAGTTGTATAGTAAGCAAACGAATTATCTGCTCCTTGATCCAATGAAGAAATAGTTGATGACTCAAATCCCAAATCAGAAGTCTCTTCTAAATCGTCTAATTTCTCCATTCTTAATAGTCTCTCGTTCTAGAAACTTTGGATTAGTGGTAGAAATTCAGTCCTGCATTTATACAAACAGTCGTCGTGCATTAAAAAGGATAACGGAAAGAAACTACTTGAATTGCAAGAATCTTCGTAAAGGACAAGCAAAAAACAAAAATAAATCTCGAAACGAAATCGCTAGCAAAAAGTTAATATTTCAAAAAAACTAAAATCAACGGTTAGATCATTCAAAATACCAATATCAACATAAAAAGGAGATTAAGAATCTTTACAGAGAGTTATTACCTTTGTTCGAATTCGAAACTGCTTCCTCTTTAACCGCAATAACAGCAAATACTAAACAATCTTGATTTCATTTTTCTCTTTCTTCAATTTTTGGTCGATTGAGGTCGAAGATTGAACTATGAATGTATAGATGTCGGAAGTCAGAAGTCTGAGCTGTAGATGGAAGGATTGAACACGATGTTGTCGACTGATTTCGGTGAAGGTGGAAGGATTGAACACGGTTGAAGGTCCACGTCTCTACACCTGGAACAAAGATTACAGGTTGCCGGTGTTCACAGAGAATGGGGAGGGGCTTTGTTGGTTTAGGATAAGTGATGCGTAGCCCCGCTCAAGTGAAACAGTAGCCCTAAATTGTAATCGACCAAACTCATGTTTATAAATAAAAAGACTTAATTTACCGACGGATTACTAACAAAACCAAAACTTTCTTCAATTCCGTCGGTAAACAATCGGTATATACCGACGCTAGTGTACTTTGTTGCAAATCCGTCGCAAAAAACGCCACTAGTATCCCAATAATTTCGTTTTCTTATTCGTCGGAAATCCGTCGGTATTCTGTAGCTGTTTCCGACGGATTTTTTCCGTCGCTAAAATCTGTCGCTAATGCTTGGTTTTCTAGTAGTGCTTGCGACCGTTTCCGAGCATTTCAAAAATCATTACCCGTTGCATAGCTCAATGGGACCGATTTTGGGATCAGATACCCTGTTTTGCTAGGAATTTGGAACCGCTACGGTTGGGTTCCTACAATATACAAACATGAGAAATTTTTACTAACCTACTAGAATGATATTATTACGTGTTGTTTAATTAATAGTAATTTGATAGTTATGATTAACTAATAATCGCCAAATCAGGATTCAAATTTCTGCATTCATCTATTTAATTACATGGACTCGGGCAAATAAGTTTTCAAGCTTGAAAGTATTGTTATGTTTGAATGAGTGAAGAAATAGAGCTTCAAGAACTTTCTTAAAACAGTGGGCAAAATCCTTCCAAAATGAACAAAACATTCAATAATTGATCTTATATCATTTTCTTAAATCAATTTAAAAGAAAACCAAACACATAAAAAAAACGCAAAAACAATTAATATATTAAAAACAAATAATTCTTTTTGTCTATATATATAGTCTAATCCTATATCATGTTAGTAAAGTAGACATCTTAATTACACTAGTCTCTTTTAAGTTTTAACTATTTATTATAATGTTTTAAAAATAAAATAAACAAAAGATATGTGATGCATAAATACGTAATACAATTTTAGCCACTACAAAACCTTAAATTTGTAAAATAGATTTTACATGTAAAAGTTAAATAAAATTGCACATTTAAATGAATAGCACATGGTTATTTTGGATAAAGGTTTTATATGTTCATTTATTCATTTTGTTCGGTTCATATTTTAATATTCTAACTATAGCACTAATATTGTCGACTTATGTTTTTTACAATTTATGTTTTTTAAACTTTATTGCTTACGTGTTTATAACTTTTCAAACATTTTAAGTTTTTTACATATATTTTTTCAAATTCCTATGTTGATAACAAGTTTTTAAATTTTTCGTAAATGGTTCCCTTTTACTTAAAATTAAGTCGTAGCAATATGTATAAAACTTAATTGCACCCTATTCTCCTTCACATACACTACGTATGGATAACATACGAAATTGAGACCACATATGAAATTGGTCTTTCATCATTTCAACACTGCAATATGTACATTAATTGCACATGAACCGAATTATCAAAAAATCGAATACTCGAACCTAAGGGGACAAGCTGCGAAAAAAAAAACTAATTTTCAGTTCTTGACTCCCCTTCCCACAGAATATTAGTGTCCGTCTTTTTTTCCTTTGTTCCTCCCTCTCTTATTTGCTTCTCACATTCTATCATTATATCACAGCCGACAAATGAAACTCTAGCCCTCACCACCGCATCTCGCTCTCATTTGCGCAAAAAAACTAATCGCCTTTAAAAAACTAATTTCTGAAAGAAATTATTCGCACCCGTCGCTTAGCGCGGGTAAACAACTAGTGTGTGTATATATATATATATATATATATATATTAATTTTTCAAGTAACATTTTAAATTAAAATAAAAAGAAAAGAAAGTAATTATCTCTCTCTCTCTCTCTCTCTCTCTCTCTCTCTATATATATATATATATATATATATATATATATATATATATATATATATATCTTAAAGCGTGTTTGTCTCCAAAAACTTGTTCTTCATTTCTAAAGCCTGTTGCAAGAACAGACACAAATCTATTCGATTTTTGAACCTATTTATGCAAGAAATATATCGTTGCAATATTAGTAGCACATGGATCATAGAGGCCACAATTCACCGTCGATTACAAGTAAAAACAAAAATCGTACCTGACATCCTAAATCAAATCTAGCCACATCATTTATGGGAGGAAGTTTACCTGATTCGCCTTCATTGAATAAAAAGAGTTGATCAGAAATCTGATTGTCCGAATCTGGAAAATCATTAGGAATCGAGAGCAACCAAGGGAGCAACTATCCATACTTTCTCTTAGTTAACGAATTTTTGAGGAAGGACGACATATCTTCGGATTCAAGTGAAGAAGAAGTGGAAACAGAGCGATTGTTGTTGGTTCTGTATAGATCCGCCATTAATTAACTCAAATAATAACCCACGCTGAAGTGGTTGCATGCAAGGTGTATTTAGATCTAGTTAGATCGTATAAGGCATCAGTGATGACGTATGATCGATTTGGGCATTGGTGGAGGTCGGATTCAAGAGAGGCGTGACGAAGAGATGAAGTTGAATCATCGATTTTTCCTTCGATTTTCCCTATTTTCTCTGCAATTTGGTTGAATGCAAAATGGGAATATACATGAGATGCCAATTGAATCTTCTACTTCTCTAGATGTTCGATAGTGCCTTCTAGTTATCCGATTTAGCATCTGATTCCTCCAATTTTAACTTTCGGATTCTATAGGAACTGAATGTTTCCTCTATGAGATATCTGATGAAGTAGTTGTTAATTTCGACGCTATTCATAACCAAAATCACAAAAAGCCATAGCTACACCTGATGGGTTTTAGCCATAAGAACTTTCCTATGTGCGCATGCAAAACCCTAATGCTTGGATCTAGGCTTTTTAATTAAACATGCTTTGAATCCAAGACTTCTAATAGCTAATTAGGTTAAATAACAACATTGAAATAGATCTAGAATCATACCTTTGAGTTCATTGTTGATCTTGTAGTCTTGGAGCTTCTAGAGTCACAAATGTCACTCCTCTAATGGCTTACAAACACCAACAGCAAGCAAGATGATTTAGGAGAGAGGAGAGGGGAGGAATTCGTCCAGAGTGTCTCTACTTTAGATGGTGTCTCGAATTCCCTCACCCCTAGGGTCTATTTATACTTGTAGACTCCTTAAGGATTACAACTTTCACCCTAATTAGATAACCTACTTTAAGTTGATCCATATCCTTTCCTTGATAACCCTATGGACGATTTTGGCTTATCCAAGCCCTAGAAATCGTCCATCCTATCTAGGATAAGGATTCATAGTCTAAAGTGTAACTATCAAACAATTGATAGTTTATACCCTCTTATTTAATTAATCTCTTTAAGTCACCAAATTAATTCCAATTAATTATGACTTATATTAATCAAATAACCATATATTATTCCTTATAATATTTACTCTCTCTTAACAAATCATCCATCAAGTTGCTATGGTGAAGGCAACCCAAAAGGACCATGCACAACCGGATCAAATACTTGCCTAATATAGTTGCAGCCTTAGACACTATTCCAACAGTCTCCCACTTGGATAAGTCTAGTAACTATACAAGTACAATTCGGTTTGCAATCGTAGCTCTCAAAGACGCTGTCAACTCTGATCTAATCAATCTTGTCCTTTAGATAAGGGATCTACAGTCCTCTGTTAGATATCATGCTGACAATCCTATGGAATGGTTAGTCAAGCATTTAGATTTCTCGATCTCCGATTTATTTGACATAGAACTTAATCAAACACATCAATTCAGTTCTGACCGGGCCCGGCACATAAGTCAAATCAAATCATCGAGTGGCCAAGATATCTCTTCTACCCTCTTAGGATAAAATTTACAGATAAACTTCGACTTATATGCATTTACTTATTCATTAACCAACTATACACAACAATGCGTTTTATAACACCAAGTTACTGATGCGTTTTCGCATTATCAATGCACAATCAATTAACAAATAATAAACCATATATCTAGGTTTTAAGACTATATGATATTATCGTCTTGCGATCACCTTTTATATCGTATTCCATAAGTGATTCCAGCAAGCGCGGGTTTATTCCAATGCTCAAAACCAGTTCATAAGCACTCATGAACGTTGCAGCAACCCTTGCTATGTCTAACACCATTTAGACATTCTACACACCAATTCATGACAATCTTCATTCATATCTACTCCCAACATATGAACGATTGTGGACCATTTGAATAATTCGATTATTCTAATAAACTCAATTATTCTGGAAGTCAAAACATGCAAAGTGAAACAATAGTTAAACAATTAACATGTGACAGTAACTTTACTCATAAATAAAACTCCTTTATTTAATCATCAAATGTTAATTACATTTATCTATTATACGTTTCTAATACTATCTAATCTATACTAATATCATCCTTCAGCCCAATACTCCTAGCATGCTGCAAGTGCTTAAC